GGGGGGGGCTTGTGGGCAATAGTGTTAGGGAGCAACCCCTGGGGACCCTCAAGGTTAAACCTGGAGCCCTGAGTAGATGAATAGATATGTCTGGGGACCCAGCCTGCCAGAATGAGTAGAGGTTGGGAGAGCATCTCCTGAGCCTATACTATATACAAAAATAGGTACATAAATACAGAAGAGATAATCCACAAAATTCTCAACACATTCTTAGTCGTTTTGACGATGCCTTCCATACATCATGGACGCCTTTTCTTCTGCACCACCTTGGTGCAGACCCTCATAGCCTCTCTCCTGCTTCCTTGCCACTCTAGTCTACCCTCCATTTGGCTGCCAAATTAATCTTACTAAAGGAAAACTCTGACCACGTCACTCTCCTAATTCAATGTACTCCATCAGCATCCTATCACTTCTAGAGTCATACAGAAAATTCTCTGTTTGACTTTCAAAGCCTTTTGCAATCTGGTCCCTTCCCACCTTACCAGTCTTCCTATACCTTATACTCTACAATCTAACTACATTGACCTCCTGGCTATTCCTCAAACAAGACCCTCCATTCCCCAGCTCTGGGCATTTTCTCTGGCTCTCCCCTATGCTTGGGAATCTCTCTACCCTCATCTCCATCTCCTGCCCTCCCTGGCTTCTTTCCAATCCCAGCTACAATCCCACTTTCCGCAAGAAGGCTTTCCTAATTCCCTAATAATGATAATCCCTCCCCTCTGAGGCTACCCCAATTTCTCCTGACTATATCTGATTTGTCTCCGCCATTAGATTACGAGCATCTTGAGAGTAGGGACTAGTTTTTGTTTTTAAATGACTTAACCAAATTCATACAGGTAGTGACAGAAGCCAGGATTTTAACTCATCTTTTTTTTTTTTGTTTGTTTGGTGAGGCAATCGGGGTTAAGTGACTTGGCCAAGGTCACATAGTTAGTGTCAAGTGTCTGAGGCCGTGAACTCATCCTCTGACTACCCAACCAGTGTGTTTTCCCGGTTATCACAATATTTCCCACACTCTCTTTAGGTCAGAAGTCAGAAAATCTGGATTTAATCCCAGATCTTTAAATCCAAATTCGCATTTTTATCCTATGCCTGTAAGTCTTTGGACAAATGCCTGTCTCTCTGAGCCTCAGTTTCCTCTGTGTTAATTAAGTTAATGGAGTAGATGCCCCCTAAGATTTCTTCCAGGTTTAGTATTATAGCCTATATAATACTAAGTATTATATTGTATATAATACCAAGTATATTAGAGAGAAATAAAACAGTGCTTTAACAAGATTTCAAGGGAGGACAGGTAGATCAGGAAAGGTTTCTAAAAGGGATGGGATTTGACCTGGGCTGTGAAGAAAAGGTAAAAAAAGGAGAAGGATGGCATTTTAGGTGGAAGGTCCAGCGTCAGTTAGGACCCAGAGGCAGGAGAGCATGGTGGAAGAGGGTGACCGGGAAGTCATCCAGTTTGGCTAGAGTGTGTGCCTTTTGGACATTTTCATAAGCATACAAAATTATTTCCACTTCAGCTGGATTTTTTTAATGACACAGAATAAATTAATGGGAAGATAATTCTCAGGATACAGACAGTTTTGTTTTCTGGCCCTTGTTTACAGATTATTTTTCTACTCAGACTTGGAAGTTTGGCAGGGTCCCAACAAGGGCCAAGCACTCATAGCATTGAAGATCGCTGGGCTTATCACTTTCTCCCATCTGTTTAGTGTTATTGGGCCTATGTTTGGAAAAGAGGGAAGAAAAGGGGGGATCTGGCTCCCTAACTCGCTCTATTCTTGTCCTCTGTCCTCATAAGGTCCTTTCCTTAAGAGACCTTGTTTTCCAGTGAAAACTTCCCTACTTTGTGTGCTGAAGTCTAGAAAATTATTTTTCATCAAGTAAATTATAGCGCTTGAAGGGGCCTTGGGAATCATCTAGTCCAGCCGCCCATACTTTACAGATGTGGAAATTGAGCCCAAGATCACATAGCTAATAAGCGGAACAGGGGCCGTACAGCCAAGCCTGCCCAACCCCTGCTCAGTGTTTTCAATAATACTCAACACATGGTCTTGTTTACCCTTCCAAATATGGAGTTAAGACAGTTGATTAATAATGATGTATGCAAAGTGCTTTCTTCACCATGACTCCATGGGGTAACATTATTCTCACTTTGAAGGTGAGGAAATTGAAGCTCAGAGACATGAGATTATTTGCCCAAGGTCAAGGCAGAGCTAGTAAATTTGTTAGAAATGGGATTTAAGCCTTGTCTCCAGGTAGTGTAGAATGGGAAAACTGGAGCCTAGAGAATGAAAGTTAATTTCCCGGAAATGCAGGTAGTAGTAATGGATTAGTTAAGGAAACTGAATGATGAAATGTTGCTCAGTTGTTTTTGGTCATGTGTATCTCATCATGACCCCATTTGGGGTTTTCTTGGCAAAGATACTGGGGTGGTTTGCCATTTCCTTCTCAAGCTCATTTTACAGATGAGGAAACTGAGGCAACACAGTCTAGTGACTTACCACGGGTTACACAGCTACTAAGTGTCTGAGGCTAGACTCAGGAAGATGAGTCTTTCTGATTACAAGACCAGTGCTCTATCCGCTGTACTATGTAGTTACCCCACTAAAGGATGGAGGAAGATATTTTAAACTAAAAAAGACAAGGGTAGTTTACTTTGCTACAGAAATAACAGTTACTGTAAAGAGATATTTGTGCTTACTGTAACTAATTTTAGTAGCTTGTACTGCTGGTGAGCTTCTGGGAAGACATCATGGCCTAACACTAAGGAATACAGAAAGAGATGACAGAGATAGCGAAAGCCAAGGAAAAACTGACCTACCAGGAGAAAAACAAAAGAACTTAATTCTTAAAGCTTGAACGCAAGCAAAAACAAAAAATTTTTAATCTAAGAATAAAAGCCTTGTGTTAGCAAGCTGTAAGCACCAAAAAGGAGGAAAAACCGAAAGCAACACAATGAAATGGAAGAAAATAACAGTCCATTTTGTAACAGGTTGTCTTTGAGAGTTCACTACATAAGGTCAACAGGAAAGACGCCTACGCCCTCTTGGGTGGCTCCCAACTGTGGAATGTGAACATCACCAGTCTTCTCCAGCCAGTCCCTTTCTCCCCCACCAGTCTAGACCTACTTTTTAACCACCACCCCCAGCTCCACCCTGAAGAAGCATCTTCTCGATCCCAAGTGGAAAGGAACAATGGAGAAGAGTAGTTCAACCCCACTAAAGAGCTGCACTGCTATTTTTAAGCCCACGGTTTTAGTGCAGGGGAGAAAGAGGACCAGATCTACGTAACTTGATCTTTCTCTGCTTTGGGGGAAATTACCCAAGTGTAGCAATTAATAAAACTCTTTTTCTTTTTTTTTTTTTTCAGCTAGGCAATGGGGTTAAGTGACTTGCCCAGAGTCACACAGTTAGTAAGTGTTACGTGTCTAAGGCCAGATTTGAACTCAGGTCCTTCTGAATCCAGGGCCAGTGCTCTATCCACTGCGCCACTTAGCTGCCCCAATAAAACTCTTTTTCATATAACTCAGGAACCCCCAGTGGAGACAGAATCCCCAAGAATTGTACAGCCTCTACTTTCTGTCCCACTTCACTTCCTTCTGTGTTGCTGGATGACAATACACAGAAAGGCTTCTCCTTAATAACAGTGAAGTGCACAGAAACAGGATGATATATTCATGTCTTGCCAACATTAATGTGGATTAAACGGAAAGGGGCAACAAACTTTAAAGAAAAAGAAAACTTTGGAATTGACATCTTCCCTCCTGGACACACATGGGGGGAAAGGACAAGTACTTCACTGTCTGATATCCCCTCCTGGGTGCCTTAGAACAAAGGGTCAACAAACGGTGGCCTGAGGGTCAAACTGCTCAATGAGCTAAGAAAGGTTTTTACATTTTAAAATAAATGTAAAAACCCTTCTTAGCTCTCCTTTACAAAAACAGATGGGAGGCTAGATTTGACTGGTTTGCTCACCCCTTCCACCATCCCATCTGGCCTCTGAAGGCAGAGCCAGCAGAAGCCCACAGAGGTCTGGCAGGGGAGTCATATCAGCCAACTCAACAGCACAACAAAACAAAAATAAATTTTAAAAAATCCCACCTAGTTCCTCAGTCTTCATAGGCCCCCTCTTGACTCATATCCCAAACTGTGGTCCTGCCACGGAGTTACTCAATTTAAACGTCAGTCTGCTTGCTCACTTCTTGCTCATCCTAGTGAGACTTTCCTTCTCCTCTTCCTCCAGGATGAGGGAAGCGCAGACCGTCTTTTCCTAAGGCACTGACAGCCTTATTTTGCCTACTTCTGGAGCATTCCCAGATCACCTGTGTGACGTTTAAAAAGGTTCAAGAGACATAGTTTTGGGGTAATTTAATCATCTTATTAATAAAGCCAACAAGTTACTAATAAAAGGATTGTCATTTGACGTCTCTCTTAAGACCAGAGACAATCATGGCGGCTGGACTCACAGTTTATATACCCTTCAGAACAGTAGATGATCCATCAAACAGCAATCAAATCTAATTGGCTAACTGGATTGGAGGTGGGCTAAATTAAAAGGAAAGGGTGAGTATCTCTTGGACAGGGAAAGTATCTTTAAACCAGACCACCCATAGCTTTAGGGTATCAATTCAAAGAATTACCCCACGGAAGCCAGAGCAGAACACAATAGCTTCCACCAGGGTAGGGCCTTGAACAAGAAAGTGAGACTACTCTCATCACCAGTAATGTCCTTAAGAACTGAACTTCAAGTCTGGACTTTAGAAGAAGGGGAGAGCTCTGAACCTCCCCTGAGATTAATGGTTATTAATAATCATTTCTCACAGCTTTTGGAGAATACATTTCGCTATCCATCCCCAGGTTTCCACTCAAAATGTCAAAACTTTGGGTTTTACCCTTTAGTTGAAAGAGGGATAGAGGCTTAGATATTAGTGTAAAAACAAGTTCTATTAATGGGGCATAATAATTGGAACCCAATTTATGGTTTACTGAAAGGGCAGTCTCCTATCTTGTTGGAAAGGCTAATTCTGGGGTAATTCTTGGGACTGGAATGACCAGTAACACCTAGGATATATCTTACAAAGCTGGTTTTCTCTGCTCTGGGATGACAGGAAGTATGGACTGACTGGCTTATGGAGCTTACTGAATAAGCTGCATTCTGCGTGCTTGCATAGCCTAAGCTTACAGGGTCCTACACATGTGCTCTGCCTTCACTATGTAGACAAGAAGGAGAGGGGCTTGAGATCATCTTCCTTGTCTTACCAACGATTAGTATCTAAATAATAAAGACCAAATTTATTGTGGTTACACACGTTTTAAAAGCAAATTTAGCTCAATAACTTTAAGATTTAGAAAATGTCTGAGTGCTACACGGATAATTTGATATATAAAACCAATATACAAATACAAACATTTACAAAATCTGAAATTTGGGATTTTCCCATGCAAATATTCACCAAGTGGATTTTTTTTTTACATAGTAATAGCTCTCTTATTACATATAATGATCCAATTTTGAAAACTCAACTTACATGAATATATTATGTAGAAGAAGGTAAGGCATATTTTAATACTAGAGATAATGTAATCTTGAGAATATTTTAACCAAAAAAGCAAAGTTTGAGTGTACAGAAAGGGGAAAAACCCGTGATTTTACCCCAGCTAAAGTGCAGACATTCTTCCAAAGAGCACCTTAATCCTTAATATCCCTGCCACGTAGGCCCTGTATAAAGAAAACAGAAATGAAGCTCAGGTAGTGAACTGGGTCAGGTTTTCAGATAATATAGATTTAAATCCATCACTAAATGAGGCAAATCATTTTCATTCGTCACACTGAACCTTATACATTCTTTTCTCTTTCTCCAAATAAAATGAAAAATTGAAAACCAAATTATTTTCATTGTTCCAGAACATTAACTTTAGCCTCTCATCTGGAAAAAAAATTTCTTTTTTGTTCCATTCCCCACTCCTGGGGTAGGAGAAGGAAGGTTGCTTTTGTAATCCAAAAAATTCTTTAACAAAACATGCTAGCATCATTCGGGTCCAGAACTTATCTAGCTAAGTTCTAACAGTGTTCTTTTGAAGATTAGGGAGCAAATGTATCTAAGGTTTCTAGTTTATTGTTAGGGAGAGAAAGGCACTTAATTTTTTTCTTCTTGGTACTTATTAGCTCTGCATTTGACAGAAAATGGTACAGTAGCTATTATTTACTTATTCAAGAATCCTAGATTTTCTTCAAAGGTTATGATTATTTTCCCATGGCATTATAGTAAAACAGAACTACAGTAACAACAATTCATTGAAATTCTGTGAGTTTAACTGTGTATACTCAGCCCCAGTAATAATCTCAGCATCTGTCTGAAGCACTAACAATACCAAGTCCAGTGCTCTGCGCCATGCTTCCCTCTTGGGTGTGACAACATCATAAACCCTTGAAGCTTCTTTTAGTGCACTAGGAATACCAGAATTTAAAATCTCACTACTCACTTTATTATATTCTTTCAGAAGGTATAATAAGGGACAACCAGAGCTTGTAGTTTTTTGGAGAAAGTTTTGAATGAACGTGCTGGCTTCCGTCTCTGAAGAGCAAGTACCTGTGTTATACACGACTGACGAAAGGTACCTGTGCCATCCATCGGCCAAGGCTTGGAGCACAGCTGGTCTATACAGTGCCTGAGATGAAGCCATCCAGGAGGAAGTCATATGAAGCCGTGCTGAACAATCCTGGTCCATCTTTTTCTGTGACTGTTCTACCAACATCTGAAGATGGGTAAGGCATAAGACTTCAACTGCGCCACCTCCCAGGAAGACCTTCTCATCGACTACAGCGTGATACATGCGATAGGCACAGGTCCAGAAACGATCTTCCTTGGCTTGCATCTGTGCAGCGACCGGGCTCGCGAGCACAGCTGTGGCCAGAAGGACTCCTTCAGCTTTGACTAAGACAGCCACCTTGTTGTTCACTTCGTTGGCGTTCAGTTGGCCTGCTCTCCACAGGCTCACATAGACGTCACTCCCCACACACTCTTCATTCAGCTGTGTAGCATAGGTCACCTGCGCTGCTCCAGTGACCTCGGCAAAGTCCTGCAGCACATGGTGACTTACTGGCCCAATGATCAGCAAGTTATTATGCATACACCTTTCCAGTACACCTTCAGACACACTTCCTCGCACCAGGACCAGGTTTACATTTAACCGAATTAGTATCTCCAAAATACGGTCCAACCACATCTTGTCTGGATATGTCAGACTTTCCAATTGAGTTTTAACATTTCCCAGTCCATTAAATCCCAAGTGGCGGTAATTCTCACTGAAGTCACCATCAATGAGAGCCACCCGCAAAGGCCGATTCTGGAGTTCTCTGATGACAGTGACGTGGTCCATTGACACTAGAGTGATATATCCAGGGAGGATGCAAGAAAAGCTTTCAGGTACACCTGGTAAACAGCAAGTGGAAATTTTTGAAACATCAAACCTAAATGGCACTGTACAATTCCTCCTCAGATGCGCATTCTGATACTGGCATCTGACGGCTGCTTCCACCAATGCCATGCTGCTATGATCTCCGTGACTCAGACCCACGGCCAGCCGCACCAAGTCATTGCATGGATGAACACAAGCGTCGAGCTGCCCTTCGTCGCTTGTCCGGTAAGAGCCACTTTCTGCCCTGTTAAAATGCCTGCTGTGGCTTAGTCTTGATTTTCTGCTGTGGCTATTTGGAATCGGATTGGTTTGGAGAGGCTGAGGCGCAGTTTTATTCCCTTTAGCTACTGACTGAGAACTGAAGGAGGAAAATCTAGAAGAGAATTCCGAGGAGTGCCCGGAAGAAAACGCAGGAGGGGATAGTGGAGAAGACACGTCGTTTCCATCCCGCCGTCTTCGGATCCAAGGAATCTCTGCTGGGATCTGCACAAGCGGGCTGGGAATGACACTCAGCGTTCCAAGCCAAGGGTAACTCCTCGCGTCTCCCGCGCTGCCCAGCACATCATGTAGAGGGATCTGAAGAGCAACGACTTCTTCCCCACAAGACTTCAGGCCTTCTGACATCACTGACACGATGACTGAAATAGGGATGTCCTGCTGAAGACATCGTAGGGCAGCCGCGCTCCATGCGCCAGCAAGAGACAGCAGGGTGTTGGTGCCTGTCCCGTACGAGGTCTTCTGCGACTGCACTGCCTCATGAAGAAGCTGCCCGACTGAACTAGTTAAATCCAGGCTCTCAAGAAGCCTCACGGTGGAACCGGCTAACACACTTTCACGAGATCCCTCGCCTACAATGAACTTGGACGACTTCACCGGGCCTAGGAAACCTCGTCCGGTTTCTGTCAGTGAGGACAGCTGCTGAAGGCCTATGTGCTTCCTCGTGCTTATATTTATGTAAGCCATGACCATGAGTCCGTATCTCCCATGAAATGAGAGCTCATGCCACCTCACACATGGCAGTTACACATCCCACATGACTAAAAGAAGTCTGAAAATGGGCCGCTCGGAGGCCGTGCGCCGACAGAGGCTTCATCCTTAAATCTGGATGCAGCGGTGGCAGGCGCTACCATCCGCGCCTAAGACACGCTCTCTCCATTTGCTGTGGGAGCCGCTTCCTCTGACAGGACTTGATAATTAGACCTTGATTACATTTCAGTGGAATATTCTCTTCTGTAAGGGAAATTACTCAAATGAGTCAACGGAGTGAGAATAAACCAGCATTAAAAATCCCTATTTGTATCGGCAGTATGATAAGACTTTGATCATTTATGGCTCCCATGTGTGTCAAAGAGCTACCAAAAAGCAGCAGATAAAGGGTTGGTCTTAAAGTCAGCAAGGCACGGGTTCAAATCTCACTTCTGACACCCGCCGGGTGACCCTGTATAATAAATCACTTACCCTCTCTCTAAGCGCCTCATCCAGGCAATAGGTCATAGACAGGCTAAGATCTATTAGTGGAGAGAGTTCCCACACCAGGAGCGCCCTATGCTTATGGAGTCATAGTTCACATATGCATTTATGCATACGTAAAACATGCCGACACACGAGATCATACAGATGACTGCTGGAAGGATAGTTACGCACGTGCGTTTCTATTCATTGATGCACGCATACCCACACACGCATGCTTGTCTCTCCATCTATCTGTGTGATGACGCACATATGCCCTGGAGCTGTGAGAGAAGATCAGATCTCTGCCCACACGGATCACTCCGCATTTGCTGAGCACCTGCCGTGAGCCGGAGCCGGGAAGAGCCTTCCTAAAGCCCGGGTCCTCCCTCTGCGCCGCACCTCGGACAGCGTGGGGGCCCCAGCAGAGCCTCAGCTCTCTTCTCCGTGGGTGGGTGAGGACAGCTGCTGAAGGCCTATGTGCTTCCTCGTGCTTATATTTATGTAAGCCATGACCATGAGTCCGTATCTCCCATGAAATGAGAGCTCATGCCACCTCACACATGGCAGTTACACATCCCACATGACTAAAAGAAGTCTGAAAATGGGCCTTCTCACCTAAGAGATGCACAAGGGCCCATACGTGGCAATGCGGGGGTCCCAGGGAGGGGCGCACCCCTCCCTTGGACGCACGTGGCTCTTTATACGCCCACCCCCCCAGCCTTGGCACGCACGGGGCGCACGCACGCACTCGGCACACGCACGCATGCACAGTTATATACACTCTCACACCCCTCCCTTGGCCACACGTGGCTCTTTATACGACCACCCTCCCCAGCCTTGGCACGCACGGGGCACACGCACGCACTCACAGTTATATACACTCACACCCCTCCCTTGGACGCACGTGGCTCTTTACACGCCCACTCCCCCCGCCTCCTCTCCCCAGCCTGAGCACGCACGGGGCACAAACGGCACACGCACACCCCCGCACACCCCCGCAGCCTGACGCATGCTCACAGTCCGGCCTCGGCGTCGCCGGGGCCTCTCCCCGCAGCAGGCCCGAGGTCCCGCCGGCCTCCTGCCTCCGTGCCCCCCGCCGACCTCACCTAAGCGGCTCCACACCGCGCCTGCCTCGGCTCCCGCGCCAAGCCCCGCCGCTCCAGCAGCCAACCAGCCCCCCACCCGCGCGGACTGCGCATGTGTCCAGGGGGAGAAGCGCCGTCGCTAGGCAACCGGGGCGGGGGCGGGAGCTGGCGGAGGAACGGCCGTCCGATTAGCGGAGAGCCCGCGAGCGGGGCGGGACCTCGGGGGAGCCGCCCTGCCATTGGCCTCCCGGGGACGGGGGCGGTGCGAGGCTGGGGGCGGGGCCGGCGAGGGAGCTCGCCCTGGCAACGGTGGCGGCGGCTGCGGGCAGGCTGGGCGGCGGTGGCGTCGGGGTCGGGGTCGGAGCCGCTTCGGGCAGCGGCCGTGCGGGCCGGGCCGCGTCTCCCGCACCATGGTGAGCCGGGGCGGGGCGGGGAGGAGCGGGGCAGAAACTGAGGCCCGGGGCGGGGCGGGGCCAGCCTCGGGGAGGAGCCCTCCTCCTTTCCTGACCCCGTTGGGGGTTTTCTTGGCAGAGATCCTAGAGTGGTCTGTCATTCCCTTCTCCAGCCCTTTTTACAGGTGAGGAAACTGAGGCAGGCAGGGGAAAGGGACTTGCCCAGAGCCACCCAGCTAGGAAGTGCCTGAGGCTGAATTTGAACTCAGGAAGCTTTGCACTACGGCGCCCCCTAGCTGCCCATAGCCCTCCTCTTACCGATGGGTAAACCAAGGCAGACCACTGCGAAGGGTTCGGCCAGGGGCTGGATTCCTTTGTCTGGCACTGTGCCCCAGCCCAGCTCTTCCACTTTGGTCGCATTTTGAATGTCCGCCTGGGCAGGCTCTGTGATTGGGTGGTGCTGGAGTCCAGGAGACCCCAGTTCAAATCCTGCCACAATCTCTGGCTGGGTGGCCCTGGAAAAGTCGTGGAACCTCTGTCTGCCTCTCAGGTAGTCATTGTAAATGCTTAGCAGGGTGCCTGGCACAGAGTGAGTGCTATATAAATATCAGCTGCCATCACCACCATCATCATCATTATCACCGTCATCATCACCACCATCATCATCATTACCACCATCATCACCATCATCATTATCACCATCATCACCAACACCACCATCACTATCACTATCACCATCACCGTCACCATCATCATCATTACTACCACCACCACCATCATCACCATCATCATTATCACCATAATCATCACCACCATCATTATCATTATCACCATCATCATCACCATCGTGTCTGGGCGCCAGGTTTTAGGGAGGGCATGGCTGCACAGTGTGTGGTTTGTGCAGACACCAGAGGGAGGAGCTCTGGGGGTTAGCCTGGTGAAGTGAACACTCAGGGGTATGACAACATTGGAGGCCCCTCCTTGCTCTACCCATCGCACATCCAGCCTTGGTTAGGGGCTGCAGGAGAGATATAGGGACCCTGAAGTTGGAGATGATGCTCCGGGAGGGATGTCAGAGCTGAGGATCTGGCAGTGGGGCGGAAGGAAGGGGTGGGGGGTGACCTGGAGGTGGTGGACCACCCCTGGGGGGACAGAGGCAGGGAGTTGTCACCCTCAGGACAGCCTCAGGAATCACAGAAGCATAGGGGATTGGGGTGGGGAGGAGGGCATTGTGAGGGTCATTTTGGTGGGAGTGAATAGTATGAGGAGGTGTGTAGTCATTGGAGAGAGAGCCTTTCAGGGCAGAGTACAGATAAGCATGACAGAAGGAAAGGAGAAATCAATAAAAAAATCAAAAAAATTTAAAAAAAATAGAAGAAAATGTGAAATTTCTTATTGGAAAAACAGCTGACCTAGAAAATAGATCCAGGAAAGATAACATAAGACTTACTAGACTACCTGAAAGCCATGGAAAAAAAAAATAAAGCCAGGGCATCGTTCAAGAAATTATCAAGGAAAAATGCCCTGATATGTTTGAACCAGAGGGCAAAAAAGAACCCACCAATCACTGCCTGAAAGAGATCCCAAAATGAAAACTTCCAGGAACATCACAGTCAAATTCCAGAGCTCACAGATCAAGGAAAAAGTACTGCAAGCAGCCAAAAAGAAACAAAAAGAAACAAAGAAACAAGCTACAGTCAGGATCACACAGGATTTGGCAGCTTCCACATTAGAGAAATGGAGGGCCTGGAATATAATATACTGGGAAGGCAAAGGAGTTATTACAACCAAGAATCACCTACCCAGCAAATCTGAATATAATCTTTCAGGGGAAAAATGGATATTTAACAAAATAGAGGACTTTCAAGCATTCCTAATTTAAAAGACCACAGCTGAATAAAAAAAATTTGACATCTAAATACAGGACTTAAGGGAGACATAAAAAGCTAAAAAAGGAACGAGAAAGAAAACATAAATTCAATAAGGTTAAACTTTATATTTCTATATGGCGTTAAACTTTATATTTCTATATGGCAGGATAATATTTGTAACTCTTAAGAACTTTATTACTATAAGAGCAATTAGAAGGAGTAAATATAGACAGAGGGTTTGGATATAAGGTGATTTTGATGGAATGGTACCCCCCCCAAAAAATAAAGGGATGAGAAAGAAAATTGCACTGGAAAAAGAAGGAGGAGGGGAGATTGAATTGGGTAAATTATCTCACATAAAAGAGACATCAAAGAGCTATTATAATGGGGGGGGGAGGAATGACAGGGAGGGGGGTGGCAGGCAAAGCTTAAACCTTACTGTCATCAATGCCTAGTGATTATCAAAACAATCTGCTATTGGGTAAGTAATAGAATGGTGAATCAGTGGAATAGATTAGGTACCAATTACATTATAGTAAATGACCATAGTAATCTAGTGTATGATAAGCCCAAAGATCCAAGCTTTTGGAACAAAAAATCATTATTTGACTGCTGGCTGGGAAAATTGGAAAACAGTATGGTAGAAACTAGGTATAGACCAACATCTCACACTGTATACCAACATAAGGTCAAAATGGGTACATGATTTACACATAAAGGGTGATACCACAGGCAAATTAAGAGAGCATGGAATAGTTTATCTGTCAGATTTATGGTTAAGGGAAGAAGGTTAAAGACCAAAGAAGACAGAGAGAGTATTACAAAATGTAAGATAGGTAATTTTGATTATATAAAACTTAAAAGTTTTTGCACAAACAAAACCAGTGCAACCAAAAGTATAAGGAAAGCAGAAAACTGGGAGAGAAAAAAAATGCCACAAGTATCTTTGATAGAGATCTCATTTCTCAAATATACAGAGAGCTGAGTCAAATTTATAAAAATACAAGTCATTCCCCAATTGATAAATGGCCAAAGGATATGAAAAGGCTGTTTTCAGACAAAGAAATCAAAGCCATCTATAGTCATGTGAAAAAATGCTCTAAATCACTATTAATTAGAGAAATGCAAATTAAAACAACTCTGAGGTACCACATCACACCTGTCAGATTGGCTAACATAACAAAACAGGAAAATGATGAATGTTGGAGAAGATGTAGGAAAATTGGAACACTAATGCATGGTTGGTAGAGTTGTGAAATGATCCAACCATTCTGGACAGCAATTTGGAACTACACCTAAAGAGCTGTAAAACAGCACATACCCTTTGATCCAGCAATACTACCTCTAGGTCTGTATCCCAAAAATGTCCAAAAAAATGAAAAAGATTTATTTGTACAAAAATATTTATAGCAGCTCTTTTTGTGGTGGCTAAGAACTGGAAATCAAAGGGATGCCCATCAGTTGCAGAATGGCTAAACAAGCTGTGATACGTGATTGTAATGGAAAATTATTGTGCTATAAAAATGATGAGCAGGCAGATTTCAGAAAAACCTGGAAAGACTTGTGTGGACTGATGCTGAGTGAAGTGAGCAGAACCAGGAGAATGCTGTACACAATAACAGCAACATTGTTCGATGAAGAACTGGGAATGATTTAGCCCTTCTCAGCAAAATAATGATCCAAGACAATCCCAAAGGACCTAGGATGAAGCATTCTGTCTGCCTCTAAAGAAAGAACTGATATTGTTTGAATGCAGACTGAGGCATGCTATTTTTTACTTTCTTTCATTTTTTTCTTTTATTCTAGTCTTCTTGTACAAAATGACTAATATGGAAATGTTTTACATGATTGCACATGCATAACCTATATGTGATTGCTTACCGTCTTAGGGAGGGGGAAGGGAGCAAAGGAAAGAGGGAGGGAGGAATAGAATTTGGAAATCAAAACTTTAAAGTGTGAAAAAATTAAAAAAAAACAAAAACCTCGTAGGTCATTTTGGAGCCTGGACACACACATTTCCAGAGTCAGGCAAAGAATCAAATACAAGAACCATCGTGGAGCCAAAGCTCAAACTGGCCTTATGGGGCCTCCTTGCTCCACCTGCCCCAGAGGAGGGGTCATGAGGGTGCTGCTGCCTGCTGGGTCATTGGCTGTCCTTGGGAAGATTACTCCATCTAAGTCGAGCCACCCAGGACCAGCCTGAAGCAACCTGGCAGTTCATTGTCCCCAGAGCGTCCAAGCACTGAGTGAGCAGCGTGTTAGCCAGAACCAGGCAGGGTGGCTCTGCCTATAGCCCAGTAATCCAAGCAAGGGACCAAGGACTTGAGCTCCTGTGGTGGCAGAAAGAGTGGAGAAGAGTAGGCCCAAGTGAGAAGTGTCAGGAAAGGTCTGGCAGTCCTCCTGGAATGCTCTCTCTCCTCCATTTCCTTTCCTTTCTCTTCACTAAGCTCTTAGCTTGCTCTGGCTGAAGCACATCACTTGTGGGGGAGTCAGTGTGTTGGGGGTGTAGGCCCACATTAATTTCTCCTAAATGACCTTCTGAATGTCCCAAAGGCTTCGTTATGCTGGGGCTCGCTAGTATCATTGTCAAAGGCGTTTGAATTGGAATCCAGCTTAGTTATAGAAAGGGGCCTTGAACATGATTATTTGCTTTTTTATTAAGAACCTTGTCAGCTATTTAACTCTGTTTCTCTTGCATCTCTAATGAATGGAATTTGATTTCGATTTAACTCCTCTGTGTCTGTTTTTACAGGCATCTAACTATCGACCAAATGCCAGTCAGCGGAAGAAGCCTAATGTCAAAGTCGAATTGACGGAGGAGCAGAAACAAGAAATCAAGGAGGCCTTCGATTTATTCGACGTCGATGGGTCTGGAAGCATCGACGTGAAGGAATTAAAGGTATTGAAGATTCCTTCCTATTCACAAATTCTGAAAAGTTTCCTGTTGTGTGCAGCGCTTTCCAAATCCACTTTTATTGTTTCGATGTTGTGAAGGTGCACGTTGGAATCCTGATGGCTAATGGAGACTTCAACGTGTACAGCCTTCCTGGAAAGTGTCTGACGTTCTTCTCCTGTTTCACCGGTGAGAACAGTCTCACCAGTTAGTTCAGTGATGTCCCCCCAAGCCCTGCTCCGTGAAGCAGGGGCAGACCAGGACAGGATCCAAGTCAACTGACGTTGCTTTTTAACGTTGGGCTGGATCCAGCCTGATGAGGGGATTCTGAGGCTGTCGCCAGGCCGGTGCTCAGTCAGATAAACAAGCCAGCCCCAGGCTCCATCACTCCACCTTCTCCCACTTAGTAGAACACGCCAGAGCTATGCTGCCGTGCCTTTGAGGACCCAGAGTCATTTCCTTCTCATTGAAGTAGCAATGGGACAGGCATCACTGCCGGGTGAAATCTAGTATGACGAATTCTGGCCACAGTCACTCTTGAGAGCCACCTCCTGGGCTCTGGCAGGATGGTGAAGGCAGTAGCCACGCTGATGAGGTGACTGAGAAGTATGTTAGATCCACAAGCCCACAGTGAGTGCACAGCTGTCTGCAAGGGATGTTTTTTTAAAAGAGAAAAATCAATAACTAATTTCAAATCAGTAAAAATCATAGCTAACTTCAGAAAGATAGAATCTAACACAGCGATGCGTTTCTCATTTCAGATTGCAATGCGCGCATTAGGCTTTGAACCAAAGAAAGAGGAAATTAAAAAAATGATTGCGGAGATTGACAAAGAAGGATTTGGCACCATTAGCTTTGAAGACTTTTTCACCATGATGAGTGTGAAAATGGTACGGTATTGTTACTACTATTTTCAGAGTAAGAAAAAACAATTTTAAAAATACTCCCCTTAAATCCTAACCTTTTTATAAATGTTGTAATAAGTAAATCAGTGCCTGTTGAGAAGTAACTGCATTTGAGGAGGACAGGACCCCAAAGATGGCAGCTTGTGTTTTAGCTGAGCAGAGCTCCTAACAGCCGCCGGGAGGAGTCAGTGAACTATTTATTGCCCAAGGAAGGGACCCATGCCCACCCCCTTCCCTCGCCTCTCTGAGATGACCTTCTGGCTGGCCAGGCCAAACGCCGCTGGCTCTGTCCTGAAGGCCCCATCTTCCCGTTTCCTCTGGAGCCTCGGCGTCTCTTCCCTGGTCATCTCTCTGTCTCCAGACACACTTGGCTCTCCCCTGGTCTTAAAAATAAAGCCGACTCAATCCTCCTTCCCTTTGCCCTGCTTCCTCCCTTCAGACTCCATCTCTCTCTCTGCCCCTGCTTCTAGAAGAATCTGCCCAAGATTCCCCTGTTTGCTCGCAGCTTCCTGGCGCTTCTGGCCCTCATGACCTTCCGTTCCCCTGCCCCCACCAATGACCTCCGGATTAGCATCACCCCCAGCCTCCTGCTGATGCCGTGATCCTGCCTCCTCTGGCATCTGGGGTCCTGCCCGGCCTCTTTAATTAGCTGTGCCCAGTGCCCTGTGTCTTCTGTGCATTGTCTGTCCCTCCCATCTCTTACCACCGAACAAGAAAAAATACAGTAACAACTCTTGATGCTGCGGCCCCCCACAAATGTTCCATTTCCATGTTTACGACTCCGAGGTTTCCTTATCTGATCATCACCTGCCGTGATTCCACCTGTCCCTGATCCCTGCGGCCCCCAGCTCCTTCCTGGGTCGCCCCTGCCCCGGCGAGGCTCTCCTCCCTTCCTCATCTTGACGCCTCGGTGACCTGGCTCACCCGTGGGCTGCCCCCGCCAACCCTGGGCCAGGCGTCACGCCCGCCATCGGCTGTCTTTGCTCCAGTTCACGGGCCACCTGACAAAGATGCTGGCCAGACCCCCTGGGTTCCAATCTGAGTTACAGGGACTTGTTTTCATGTCTGGTCATCCCTACTAGATGTCAAGCTCCTCGAGGGTAGGTCTGGACTACAGGATGCAGGTGGCCCGCCTCACTCCCGAGTGTGGCCCCAGCCGATGAAAGTGCGCTTGGGGAGTTGCTAACCAAGGAAGTAAAAATGCCAGGAAACAGATGACATTCCAGTGTGGAGTAGTCAGTGTGCGTGACCTCTGTCTGTGACCTGGACCTCGTTCACCTTTATCTCTGCCCCATGATCCCGTACAGTGTGTCAGGCAGTCAATCACCAAGCATCTATTAGTGCCTGCCCTGTGCCAGGCATTCTGCTGAAAAACACAGAGGATTGGGATGGGTGAGAAGTCAAAGATGCCAATGAGGTTGAAAACCTGGGTACCTTTGACATAGGAGGATGGAAGCTCAGGAGGCTGGGTTTGAGATATGTTGAGGGTATTTTTGGAATCTTTGAGGAGGAATAGGGGTGGGGGCGTAGAGTAGGGAAGTGGGGAGTGATCATTTTCAGGAGATAATAAGGACCAGCCTCCTGGAGCAGACAGGTTGCTTTAGGGAGCAGTCAGGGAAGGTTGCTCAGGCAGCGTGCAGCTTCATAACCGAAGGCATTATGAGGCAGGCAGGGGAGTTTGGAATAGACAGAATTGATCAATGTCCACTGTTGCCCAATTCCATGGAAGGTTAGTCTGAAAACCACCAAACAAAGACTTATGCACCAGATGTAATTAATTAGCACTCTGTCCTCAAGATAAGGTGCCAAAACATCCCTGAGTAAAGTAGGAATCTTATGAACCAACCTAATAATGGAGAATTTTAAAACTTAAAACCCTTACCAAGTACCTTTGGTATCTGGTATTCTGGGCACCCACCACTCCCACCCCCCCAAAAGCTAAGTCACAGTCTTCTGTGGGCCCAGCCCTAGGGGACAGACCCCCGTGGCGGCAGGGACTGTCCACACACCCCCTCCACCCTCACCACTCTGTCTAGCCCCAGGAAAGAAAGGAGGAGTGGGAGGGGAGTAATCATGGGGCTGAAATGGTCAGGGCTCAGGCTGCTGCATGGGAACCCAGGGGAAAGCAAGGTGGGCCCAAATTGGCACGTTTAGAATGTGTCCGTATCTTTTCCCCTCTTAGTGCTTTGTGCTTGTGGGAGCCTGGCATATTCCTGAACTAAAGCAAGGACAGGTGCCGCTGTTCTGGTGACTTGGACCTACATTTGACTGTTTTTTTTTTCTTTTTTAAAGAGTGAAAAGGATGAAAAAGAAGAAATTTTGAAGGCCTTCAAATTATTTGATGATGATTGTACAGGAAGTATCACCCTCAAAAATATTAAGAGGGTTGCTAAGGAATTGGGAGAAAATTTATCAGATGATGAACTTCAGGTAAATGTGTTTTCTTTCTTAGCCATACTTCCTTGTCCTTTAGCGATCCATTATTTGGGATCAAAGAGAGTTTATTTGGAGAAGAACAAAGCCTTCAGAAGATAAAGGCGTATATATACCTCAGTGCAGGAATGTCAAAGGTCCTGACTCTTCCTCCCCTTCCTAACTTATAAATGCTCTCTCGGCCCTTAGTAAGCCTGAGCAAGAGGGCATGCGTGCCTGTGTGTCCGTGTCTGTCTAAGGAGAGGGTGCTCCCTCCTGGGAACAGGACGGAGAAAAGGCCCGTGTCTGAGGGTCTGCCAGAGGTTGGCTGGAAGGGGCCCAGGTCCGGAGACAAGGTGGCGGTGGCAATGATGCAGAGCCACAAGGGGGAGCCAGAGAGCCGAGTCAGAGAGCCCGTGGAGTGGCAGGGCGGACCCAGCTGCGTTTCAGATTTTGTAACCAAGTCTTTGTTTTACAGGAAATGCTGGACGAAGCTGATCGTGATGGAGATGGAGAAATAAACGAGCAAGAGTTTTTGAGGATGATGAAAAAAACCACTCTTTATTAGTGCTAATTCTTTGGTAACCGTGTCCAGAAGGTTGTTACTCTTTACTGTTCTGTAATTTAATCCCTAAATGTTGACCATCTCAGTTTTTAGATTATACGGACAGGGTTTTACCTTTGTGGCCGCCTCTTGGGACTCGAGAAGATTGGCTTCAGGAGCTTGGCCTGACTCTAAGAGGCAGGATTCAGTGACTGCAAAGCCTAGCTTACGAATCCCAGGTTAAAGATATACAACTTTCTCTCTTCCCTTTTCTCATCTCTCTGATCCAGGGTTGTAAATGCTAATAGGCCAGAAAAGATTTCCAAACAAAATTCCCCAAGGAATAAATGAACTTTCACTTCTTTTTCTTTGCATAAATTTCAAAGTAGACAGTGAGCTTTTTGTTGCCATTAAAAATAGTTGTTTGTTTGTAAAAAGTGTGAAATAAAACTATGCTGCAAGGATATGCTTATCAAGCACTGATACTTAACCATATTTTTTCTCTATAAGAATAAAATTGTAGGAATAAAACACACCGATTGCCTTAGTTTTGTAAAATATTAGATTTTCTTTTTTTAGGCAATTGGAGTTAAGTGACTTGCTTAGGGTCATACAGCTAGTAAGTGTCAAGTGTTTGGTCTGAGGCTGGATTTGAACTCAGGTCCTCCTGACTCCAGGGCCAGTGCTCTATTCAAAAATATTAGATTCTAAAGAACCTTTGACATTACCTAGTCTAATCATCTTTTCCACTCACAGCTGAAATTTTGTAGATGAGGAATTTGAGGCTCAAAGAGGATAATTGACTGTCCCAAGGTGACACGGCATGCATTGACTGAGCACTTGCTACATGCCAGGCACTCAGTTAATTGCTGAGGATACCAAGAGATGGAGGCATTGGAGGACCCCAGTCAGTCTTCACGACATCCATGTTCACAAAGCTTAATTTTTCCGCATGATTTTTAAGTGTGTAAATTGCTTTCGGCTTTGGAGCTCTTTCCGCTCTCATTTAGCTTGCCCTGCTTTTTCTCAGTGATCTATATTGGCTGTTTCCAGATGGTACCCTCCTCTGTTCACATGATATGAAGAAGAAGACAGCAAATGAGTGAGGCATCAAATGTAGAATAGCAATCAGGCTGACCGGCGAGGCTGGAGATCTGAATTCAAATCTTGACTCTGTTACACAGCCAGGTAGACTTTGGACACATTGCCTTACTTTACCTTCTTCACTGGCAGAATGAGGGCATTCATCTAGACAGATGACTGTCATCCCCTTCAAGCACTAAAATTCCTCTGACACGCCTAGAACCACTAGAACCCACGCAACGTGGGCAGTCAGGCTGAAAATAAAACTTCTCAAGCCTAGATCTGTTAGTTTGGGGCCACACTGGGGGAGTGTGGGCCTGCTGTCTGTAGACCTGGATTGGAATCCCACCTCAGGGAGATACTTCCCGGTGTGTGAATGGGGGTGAAAGCTTCCCATTCCTCATCTAGAAAATACCCTTGTCAGGCTCTTTGAAGGGGAGTGCTCGGCAGATCTTAAAGGAACTGTCATGGCAGCATGGCCTGGTGGATGGAGACTTGGCTGCTGAGCAGGAAAATCTGGGTTCAAGAAGTCCTCTGCCACGTCCTGGCTGTGTGGCTCTAGGCACGTCCCAAGATGAGGAGTCACAGAAAAGGTGCTGATCCACATTGGTAAGGGAAGTTTTCTCATCTGGGAGCTCCAGGCCAACTGGACCTGTGACTTGGTGTAGGGAACTTGTAGATGAAGATGGGGTACAGCTGGAACCCAGTACGTGTGAATAATGAATACCATGGTCAGACGTGGTAGAATTCCCATCATAATACAAACAATTCCAAGTTTGTATCTCCTAGCTCTTTCTACTGTATCACACTCTTCAACTGGGTCCCAAATTGACTCTGTCTAGACTTCTGAAGTTATATTTTCAGTATGACTGTCCATGTGGCCCAAGGCCTATTACTTGGAAACATGCACATGAACATACATGCATACATACATACATACTAACCACATCTGAAGTATGGTCTGGTTGTGGACCTGTGATTTCATCTGTATAGGGGATTCCATGTAGAAACATCCTCCATTGGAACAGCCTGGCAACTCATCTACCTTTATAGGTTTGGTTGCCGGGGCCCTGGGACTTTGACTCAGACATGGTAGCAGCGTGTGGACGCTTCAGAGGCAGGATTTGAACACAGGTCTTCCTGACTCCATTATGGTGCACTGCCTCTTACCCACGTGCCTCTTCTACTCATGAAAGTCATTGTCAGGTGATGCTGTTGCACTCCTTGCCGGGCTGGTTCTTGCAGGTGTATCTGCTGACTCAATTCCAACAGTTGCAGGAATCTCAGAATTTCTTCATCTTGGGGTTCTGTTGAACCCTCAGAAGGCATCACTGGAAATGAATGCCCAGAGGATTGAGAAGCTGTGTCACGAACGGTTTGCTGTTGTCCAGTCCTCCAGGGCAACGAGCAGGGATGCTAACCCATGATGACACACTCCCTTCCCTATTTCCTAACAGACTTGACTGCGGTAGTTTGCCAAAAGGAGGGATGTACGGAACAGCACTAGAGCAGATGAGGTGCTTTATTTTGGAAGTCCTCTGCTAAGTCCAGACTGGGATGGCTGTGGCATGTCTTAAGATATGATTCCAATCAACGCTCAGCAGGACGGATGATTGCTGTAGAACACAAAATACCAGATCGAGAAATTAGATGCCTGTGCAGTCATGTTTAGTCTCCTCCAACAATCCATTTACGGAAGCCTCAGGATAATCAGAATTAGATGGGAAAGGACCTCAACAACTGTCTAGTCTAGCCCAGGGAATCAATCTCTTTTATAATAAACATGCCTGACTAGGGGCCATCCGGTCTCTGTGTGAAGACCTCCAAGGAAAAGGAACCTGCCACTCCCTAAGGAAAAAAGAACTCCAATTGAGCCTAAATTTCAATTTTTCCCATCTCTACCTATTTGCTCCCGCCATCTACCCTCTGTGGTCAGACAGAACAAGTCTAACGTCCTGCTCCATGTTACAATACATAGAATACTTGAGCACAGCTCACATGTCCCCCCTGAATCTTCTCTAATCTAAATAGCCCTTCAGTTTATTTATCCAGTCCTTTAGGGCAATGGTACTGTTTATTTGATATGGGCTCAACACCTGGGGGCCTCCTCTGGATGCCTCCTACTGCTGTGATACACAGAGCTGAGCACAGTACTTCAGATGTGGTCAGAGTACAGAAGAACCATTACTTCCTTATTCCTGGAAGCTAGGCCTCTTTTAAAGCAGCCCCAAACTGTAGACGTTTTTTTAGCAGCCACATCACACTGCTAATTCGCGTGGAGCTCACGGTCCATTGAAACACTCAGGTCTCTTTCAACAAATGGCTGTCTAACCACATCTCCCCCAACCAGTACCTCTGAAGTTGATTTCATCTTTTTATTAGATTTAGGCCAAATTCCTAACCTATCAAGATCTTGGATACTGATCCCTCCCAGCTTTGTACCCTCTAACCTTTCATTCAATTCACTGCTCAAAATGTTAAACGAGACAGGACCAAGCACAGATCCCTGGGGCATGCCACTGGAAACCTCCTATGAAAATACCAATGAACCATTAATGACTACACTTTGTGTCCAGCCATTCAAACAGCTGCAAATCCATACACTAGTGATATGTTCTCTAGTCCGTATTTCTCCATTTTCTCCACATGAATAGTATGCGATGTCATTAGATGCTTTGCTAACTCTAGGTGAACTATGGCATTCATCTATTTAGTAACTGTCAGAAAATGAAGATACTAATCTAGCACGGCATTTTTTGATGTAGCCATGATGGTTTCTTTTTTTAATTTTTAATTAATTTATTTTGAATTATCAACAATCACTTCCATAAGCTTTTGAGTTTTAAATTTTTCTCTCCCTTCCTCCCTACCTCCCTCCCCAAGACAGCGCGCAATCTGATATAGGCTATACACATATATTCCTATTAAGCATATTTTCACATTAGTGATGTTGTAGGTAAGAATCAGAACCAATAGGAGGAACCACCAGAAAGAGGAAACAAAACACAACAGAAGAAAAGTGGCTAAGTTTATCAAAATCAGTCATCTCACAGTGTGGCTGTTACTGTGTACAACGTTCTCCTGGTTCTGCTCACTTCACTCAGCCTCAGACCATACAAGTCTTTCCAGGTTTTTCTGAAGTCATGATGATTTCTTAAATGGCAATATTGTTTCTATTTCCATCTCCATTGATAGTCACCCAACAATACCTAGCAATATTTTCTAGGTTCCTTTGGGGAGCATCACTTGCATCCCCACAGTGATAAGTCTCTGGAGGTTCTCCAACACATCTGTGATACGTATGCTCCGACAAAAGCAGACCTTTCTCTCGTAAACATCAGGTCAACAAATGGCTGCGTTGGTAGCCCTCAACAGTAAGTCATCAAACAGTGCTTACTCCTCCCTTCTTCCTCTAACCCCCTCTGGACAGCATCTATGGCTCCACCCCATCATTCCTTAGAATCTGAGCTACTACTTCCTTCCTTCCTTAGATGGTCCAGCTTCCGCTTAACAGGAAAAATATTAAATCTATTACCCAACTCCAATTGTTCAGTGGTCCTTTTTCTCCACTTTGTCACCCTTTTTCACCCTCCAAGCTCCTCACACCAACCACAATAGTGTCTTAAAGGAATAGTTCATCAAATTAGAGGGAGAAATAGACAGCAAAAATATAATGGCTGGAAACCCAATCATGCCCCTCTCAAACCCAAACAAATCATACAAAATGTAAATAAGAAATAAGTTAGAGACCTGAAGAGAATCTTAGAAGAACTAGAAATGATAGATCTATAGAGATTACTAAATGTAAATACAAAGGATTTAGGGTCAACTGTGCATATTTACAAAAAAAAATTGACCACCCTCTAGGGATAAAATGCCATAAATAAATGCAGAAAAGCAGAACTATTAAACTCATACTCTTAATAACCACAATTAAGTGAATATTATAATCAATAAAGGACCTTTTAAGAAGGGATTTAAACTTAAATAGAAACTAATTTAATATGAAAGAATTAGTAGGTCAAAGAACAAATCATAATTTCATGAAAGAAAATGACAACAATGAGACAAGACATCAAAACTTTTGGGATAAGGCCAAACCAGTGCATGGAAGAAATTCACGTACCTAAATATTTTCATCAACAAATGGGACAGAGAAAAAATGAATTGGGCATGCAAGTAAAAAAAAATTAGAAAAACAAAAATAAAAAATTTCAACCAGACATAAAAATAGGAATTCTGAAAATCAAAGACAAGATTGACAGAATTGAAAACAACAACAACAACAATAACAAAAAACATTGAACTGATAGGAGCTTTAAAAAAAAAAACTAGTAAAAATAGATAAGCAAGTAGCTAATTTTATAAGAGAAGTCAAATT